AAAGAAAGAAAGAAAGATTACCAGAAGGATAAGTTCTTCTCAGGAGACACTGAAATAAAATCTGCTTTTGAGTCACTCATCCACTTGCCAAATTAAGTTGTAAGCTTTTGGTTAGTAGTAGGATAGACCGAAGTCAGAGATTTGGTCTTGGGTAACTCAGAACCCCACGAGAGCCCCTCCATTAGTTTTACATATGCTCTGGAGTTCTGTGTCTGTCTCCAGCTGTTTTTGAGTTGACTCAGCAACCGAGGTTGGTCATATAGCATTTCCCTTGTTGACTGGCGAAAAATAACTCTCCAAGTAACCCATAAAAGAAAAAGTTTATTCGGGAAAAGAAAAAGAAGCAAAACCACCACCACAGTGTGAGAAAAGACACCTCCAACACAGGCTCCAACTGGCAGCCCATGTGGAGGCAAAAGGCCCCCTTTCCAAGATGGCTAATCTCTTTATTCTGATCCCTCCCCCAGAAATTACCATAAGGATAAACAGGAAGTCAGGATTATAGAGTTAACAAGGGGCCCAGTTCCACCCATAGTCCTCCCAACTCTATGGTTAAGCATCTTAAGATGCCAGTTCACTTTATCACCCTTCAAGTTCATGTATTTATACATCCCATGGGCCCAAATACCGCCCCCCTCCTTCATCTCTGTAGCTTGGTGAATTTCTTTCTCGCCTGCTTATAAGAAACTTTCAAAGGATGATCAACTTGCCTTCTCTCTGTAGGTGTTGAAATGTCAATTTTGCAGTATAATAATTAACAGTGCAGAACCTACCTTACCATACACCAGCTCTCCCCATCCCCACTCCACCCACCAAAGAGCATCTGAAACAAAACCTAGTTTTAAGATTCAACTTTTTGAAGCAGTGACACCATGATTGGTGGTCAGGGTATTTGGGAGGCCTGGGGAATGGAAGCATTTATATCATAAAATTCCAGGAGAGTGTCCTGGACCCTGGGTCCTCTTTACATGTGGACCTCAGTAACTACTCATAGGGCATTTTGGTGAAACGAGTCAGCGGCATTATTATCAGCATGATAATTAACCCAGAGAATGTATTTAGCCTTGCTTCAGGAGAATGAATGCAGAAAGACAGAATTTTTTCAACTGTTCCAAAAAAATAAATGAACTCCCTGCTTTTGGCACAAGGGGTTGAGGGAATTAGTCATCATTTGATCAGTTTAAACGTTTTACTTTAAGGCAAAGCCATTAGACTTGAATCACACATGCCAAAAGCAACATGGATACACCCCCATTCATGTATCCCCTCTTTGTTAGTATTGGGAATCAAACCGTACTGTTTCCCATTAATTTCACAGTGACCGTTCCAGTTTTCCAATGGTTGGTAGATTTTTCTTTAGCAGTAAAACCCATTTATATCCTTATT